ACGCAGGGCCATGAGGTGTGTGCCGGGGACAGCCGGCGGACGCTCACGAGGAACACGACGACCAGTACGACCAGTGCGGACAGTGCGAACAGGCGAGACAGGACGAGACGCAGGCTCACGACACTCAGCAAGACCGCTTGTCAGCTCAGTGTAAGGAGAAGGAGCAGGCAGCGGTGAGCCAGGCTGTAACGGAAGACCAGTAGAAGACGGGAGGCTAAGAACCTGGCGAAGCACGGAGCCAGGCGGTGGCAGAGACGAAGGTGACGGCGGAACGAAGAACAGTCGCGGCGGTGCAGTGACACCAGCACCAGTAGCTCCAGCACCTCCTGCAGCTCCAGAACCTCCAGCGCCAGCACCCGCAGCAGCTCTAGAACCTCCAGCTCCAGCGCCACCAGCGCCAGCACCTCCAACAGCTCCAGAACCTCCAGCGCCAGCACCCGCAGCAGCTCCAGAACCTCCAGCTCCAGCGCCACTAGCGCCAGCACCTCCAACAGCTCCATAACCTCTAGCGCCAGCACCCGCAGCAGCTCCAGAACCTCCAGCTCCAGCGCCACCAGCGCCAGTACCTCCAACAGCTCCAGAACCTCCAGCGCCAGCACCCGCAGCAGCTCCAGAACCTCCAGCGCCAGTACCCGCAGCAGCTCCAGAACCTCCAGCTCCAGCGCCACCAGCGCCAGCACCTCCAACAGCTCCAGAACCTCCAGCTCCAGGGCCCCCAACCTCAGAGTCGACAGCAGCACCTCCAGGTCCAGCAGGACCTCCAATCCCAGCAGCTCCAGTACCTCCAGTACGAGCACCTCCGGGACCAGCTGCTCCAGGAACTCCAGTAGAAACAACACCAGTAGCAGAGTCACCAGCTCCAGCTCCTCCAGCAGCAGGGCCCCTAGCTCCAGCAGCGCGACCCTGACGGCTAACGTACCACTCACGCAGCCTCTGTGGGGAGAGCGGGACAGCGCCGGCTCCAGTGCCTCTAACACCAGCACCTCCCGCAGCAGGGCCCCCAGCTCCAGCAGCTCGACCCTGACGGCTAACGTACCACTCACTCAGCTGCTGTGGGGAGAGAGGGAGACGACGGCGAGGGTGCAGCGGCGAGGCACCAGCGGAGCGACTACGGAGACGGCCGCTCCAGGGAGACTGCTCACCAGACGCCTCAGCGCCCCCAGGTGCAGCACCCCCAGACTCAGTAACCCCAGGCTCAGCACCCCCAGACTCCTCACGCCCAGGCTCAGCACCTCCAGGCTCCGCACCCCCAGGCTCAGCACCCCCAGGCTCCGCACCCCCAGGCTCCGCACCCCCAGGCTCCGCACCCCCAGGCTCCGCACCCCCAGGCTCAGCACCCCCAGAAGCAGCACCCCGAGCAGGACCACCCTCAGCAGGACCCGAGTCACCAGTGACCTCAACCGGCGCAGTCAAGGGAGGAGGGTCTACCTGAGACACACCTGAAGGAGCAGGACCGGGAGCGGGGAGGGGGTCTACCTGGGGAGCACCTGTAGCGAGGAAGAGTGGCGGGGGGGGGGAGAGGGGCAGTGCGGTAGGGGAAGAGATGGTAAAAGGGAACCGACTCGTCGAACGTGACGTCCTGAGAGGGGAAGACACGGCGCGAGGTGGGGTGGTAAAACTGCCAACCAGGCGCGTCAGAGACAAAGCCAAGGAAGACACAGGAAACAGCGCGGGCGGAGAGCTTGTCCGCGGTGGTATCGCGCACAAAGGCACGAGAACCCCAGACCCGGAACACCGACGCATCGCCAACCTCCCACGTCCACCGCAGTGTGGGCGAGGTCTCCGGCACGGAGACACGGGGCCAGAGGTTTAGCTGATGCGCAGCGTAGCGGACCGCAAACGGCCACAGAAAATGGGGGGCAGCCGCATGGACCATGGAGGTACGAGCGACCTCCATGACCAAGCCAATGCGGCGCTCAGCAACCCCATTCTGCTGCGGAGAGGCCGGAAGCGTGAAAGTCTGGCGAATGCCCTCCCCACGACAAAAGCTCTGCAGAAGGTCGGAGGAAAACTCCCCACCTCTGTCAGAGTGCAGACGCAGGACGGGAAACTCCGTCCCGAACCGCTCGTGGAGCTGGAGACGGGCAGCGCGGATCCAAGGGATCAAAACATCACGGACCTTACCCTTGGTGCGCAAGGGGAAGACCGTGGTGTAACGCGAGTAGTCGTCAACAACCAGCAGGAAGTACCGCTCGCGGTCCTGTCCACGGACGCGGGCTGGGCCCCACACGTCCATGTGCAGGGTCTGCAGGGGAGCAGTCGTTGGGGGAAACGAGGAGGAGTGAGGAGCGGCGCGCTGCCGCCCCTCGACACAGGGAAGACAGGGAGGAGCAGGCAAGGGTGGTAGAGGAGGTAGAGTCTCTGGAAGTCCAGAGACAAGGAAACGGCGGTGCATGCTACGAAGGCGCTGCACCGAGGGGTGACCTAGGCGGTGGTGCCAAAGGAGGGTCTGGTGCGACAAAGCGCGACACGAGCAGGGGGCCGCTAGCTGACCTGACGCAGACGCAGACGCAGCGACCTGAGGGGACACAGTAGTCAGTGTGTACAGACTCGAGCCAGGCGCACGGGTAAACGTGGCCAGGTGCCGGCCCGTCCGGGAGCACGTACATTGGGTCACGCGCTGACCTCCAGGAGTGAACTGGTCAACCCACTGGTCCTGGAGGTCAGCACCACTCACCAAGTTCGTAGAGAACGAGGGGAGGTGAAGACCTAACAGGGAGCCAGACGGGACCGCCGGACACGGCAGGACCGTGGAGGAGTGCGCAAGGACTGGACCCCCAGAGGGGTCTGCCAGGGAGAATGCAACCGGCCGACGGAGCGGCGTGAGGGTGGTGCTGTCGCGAAAGAAGGAGCGAGAAGCACCTGAGTCAAGTGTGAAGGTGTACAAGGCCTCAGCAGTCGCAGTACCAGAGAGAGCAGACTCACCAGCACCTGGAGCAGAAGCCTCACCAGCACCTAGAGCAGGAGACGCACTAGCACCTAGAGCAGCAGCCTCACCAGCACCTAGAGCAGCAGGCTCTATACCTGGGTCAGGCGGTACGCACAGGTAACAGGCACGGTCAGCACTAGTAGGCAATGCATACATGGCAGTGAGAATAGCATCATAGTCAAGAGCAAAGATATCTACCCTCTGCCCAAGCAGCTCCAGCCAGGTGGGGAGCTCAGCCTCGTCGCCAAACTCGGTACGCCAGGCGTCGCTCAGACGGGCGAAGCAGCGGGACTGTGTGTGACCAAGCGTCCCGCAAGCCTGACCAGCCCGATCACCTGTGCGAATGACGTACGGGTAGCGAACGGTACTCCGAGACCCTCTACTCTGAGCGTACTACTCGTGAAGCTGCTGGGACGTAAGTATCTCGCGTGGACGCCGCTGCAGCTGCAGCTGGCCACTGCCAGACGCTCCCAACTGACCAGCTCCAGGGCGACAGCTACGACGGCTACCGCCACAACCCCAACTAGCGTACCACTCACGAATCTGCTGGGGCGGGAGAGACTCGCGTGGACGTCGCTGGAGCTGCATCTGGCCACCGCCAGTAGCAGCAGTAGCAGAAGTGGCAGCAGTAGCAGAAGTGGCAGCAGTAGCAGAAGTGGCAGCAGTAGCAGAAGTGGCAGCAGTAGCAGCAGCAGCAGCCTAGCAGCAGTAACAGTGCGGGCAGGGCAGGTGCGGCAGGCAGGCAGTCAGGCAGGCAGGCAGGCAGGCAGACAGGCAGGCAGATGACGCAGCAGCGCGCGAACAAGGTAGGTGCTCACCAGTGGCGGGAAGGGCAGGCGCTCGCCGGGCAAGCAGGGCCGGCGCTCGGCGGGCGGCGGCCGGGTAGGCGCACGACGGCGGCGACGGCGGGGCCGCTACAGCTGCGGCAGAGCAGGGCCGCGTCGGCGGTAGAGCAGGTCCGCGACAGCTGCTGCAGGGCGGGGCCGTGCGGACTGCTGCAGGGCGGGGCCGCGAGGACTGCTGCAGGGTAGGGCCGCGACAGCAGCAGGAGGCTCCGCGGCAGCTTCTGCAGGGCGAGGCCGCGACCGTGGCAGGGCGCTCCTCGGCAGCTGCTGCAGAAGCGACGGCGGCAGTCAGGCAGGGGCGGCGTCCAAAGGGGGGGCGCGTCGAACAGGGGCAGCCGCGGCGCGCGGGGCTGCAGCGGGCTAGGCGAGCTGCAGGCGCGGCGCGCGAAGCCGCAGCGGGCTGCGCGAGGACGGCAGCCGCGGCGCGCGGGGCTGCAGTGCGACGCGCGGGCAACAGACGCGACGCGCGGGGCTGCAGTGCGACGCGCGGGCAGCGGACGCGACGCGCGGGGCCGCAGCAAGCCGCGCGGGATGCGGACGCGGCGCGCGGAGCAGCAGCGAGCCGCGCGCGGGCTGCCGAGGCGCGACTCGGGCAGCTTGGGCGACGCGCGGGGCAAAAATCGGGCCGCGCGCAGGAATCAGGTCTGCGCGCTCGAAGCAGCAGCAGACCGCGCAGTCAGCAGACAGCAGGCAGCAGGCAGACGGCGCGCGCAGCGCAGCACGTCACAGGCACAGTCACAGTCACAGTCGTGGGGTAGCGGTAGGTGGGCCCGAAAAAAAACGGTCCTACGGACCTACTGCTCTGAAACCATGTCAGAATCTAGAGACAGGAATGATCAACTATGAGAGAGTTGGGTACAAGTATGAAACACTAAAAGGGGCTGTACCCCATATTGGCTACCCCACTACAGCCTACATATATATAACATGCATATATATTGACATCGCATGTATGGCATGGCACGGTCACCGCGCTGCCTTCTACCGTAGCTTCATAAAATAGTACCATAATCACCGGGCCCTTAGATATCAGACTCTTTACGCTGATTTGATATATATATATTTGTATATATATTGGTTCAGATATCATAATCACCAGGCCCCCTGTATGCCCTGCCTAGTCATTCTTTCACTTTCTAACAGATACATCCAGGAGAACATGGTCGGTAATCAACATCTTTTTAGTAGCGGCTAATCGTACGCCTTGTAACGCTGTAACAACTTGATCACGCCCGAAAGCCAATGAGGTTCAATTCTTCCGTTAGGCTTGACTGTTTCTTAACTACATTGTTCCTCTCCTCATCTTCCTCATCCACCTTCACCGCTGCGCGCACCTCCTCCTTCCCCCCCACTTCGTTCCTAACCGCCTGCAGCTCATTGGCAACGCCTCCCATGGTTGGTCGGCTTGCCGTGCGAGCCACCGTGCAGGTGAGTGCGAGGTGAGAGATTCGTAGCAGCACGTCATCTGGGGTGTCCATGCTGGCGGCGATCTTGAGGCCCGCCACGTCCCCCCGCGACAAACACTCGTCCACCTGAAGAGAGGGACCGGGAGAGGAGTAGTTTCGAGGTGAGAGAGGCGCAGCAGCGCGTCCTCTGGGGCGTCCATGCTGGTGTTGATCTTGAGGCCCGCCACATCCCCCCGCGACAGACACTCGTCCACCTGAAGAGTGCAACAGGGTTTAGGGGAGAAGTTTAGAGGTGCTGATGGTAGTGGTGGTGGTGGTGGCGGCGGCAGTGGCGGCGGTGGTGGTGATGGTGGTGGTGGTTGCGGTGGCGGCGGCAGTGGTGCTTACCCAAGGTAGGATGTGCATGCTCCCCGCTTCAGCCTCAGCAGTGAGAGCACGTCCAGTGAGCACCACGAGGATGAGCACTCCAAAGCTGCAGGCAGGGAGAGGGAGAGATGTTTAGTGCAGATGGCATGGTGAGGCAACGCAGCAATGCCGATGGTACGATGTGCATGCACCCCTTGGCAGTCTCAGCAGTGAGAGCACGTCCAGTGAGCACCACGAGGATGAGCACTCCAAAGATGCAAAGCAGGGAGGAGGAGAGGAAAGGCCCTTTTGAGGATTCTCAAAAGCACGCCCAGTGAGCACTACGAGGAAGAGCACTCCAAACCTGCAGGCTGGGAGAGGGAGAGACGATGCTGGTGAAGGCATGGAGATGGCATCACAACAGCGAGGCTTGTCTTTTTTACGTTCATCGTTCAGACTTACAGAGAGATGCGTTCATCATACCATGCTCGTAAATTGATGAAGGTTTACACCTTTTACATGTAAAAAAAACGACGCTCATCATACCATGCCCGTCAATAGACGCGATTCTACACTTAAACCAACCACCTTGATTTTATGCCAACAACCATGCTTCCCCTGTCAAAGGTCCACTCGAGATCCCCGACTGATCATAGGGAAGGGTTACAGTCATGTTGGCCTTGAGGGTTATGGGCGCATATACCCGCTACACAAACGAACCATTTTGTCCCAGTGGTTAGTGGCTTGGATTCTGACATGGTAACAGAGCGAATGTCTGGAGTTCGAATCTCAGTGTGTGCACCTAGGGCATCCCAGTGCAAGGGGGTGTCAAAGGTCCACTGGAGATCCCCAATTGATCCTAGGGAAGGGTTACAGGCATGTTGGCCTTGGGGGGTATGAGGGCACTCACCCGTTACACAAACAAGCCCTTTTATCCCAGTGGTTAGTGACTGGGATTCTGACATCCATTTCTTCTGATTGATTTTCGGTCTACAGTCCTTAACGCACGTGAGCGAGCATGATTAGCGCGCAAATACGCGGACCGAATAGGAGGAGTAAGAAAGAAATGAGCACCAACAGATGATCAATCTCATTGTAACCTTACAAAAAGCCTCTCATCCTCCCTCAAGTACCTGTATACATCTGTGGACGTGGTTGCCTTTAAAGTGCTGGAGTAAACAGATTCCACTTCCTAAGTCGACTCATAAGTCACCTCACCTCATGGTTGAGCGGACTCAAAAGTTCCCTCATATACCTGTAAACATCAGTGGCTGTGGTTGTCTTGGACGTTCTGGAGTAAACAGGGTCCACATAACCTGGTGTTCCCATCACTCGCGTGCAACCCACTGTCGTGCCCTCTCCCACCCTCACCAATCCGAAATCTGCCACCTTGGCCTGGGGAAGAGAGAGAGTATATCAGAAAAAGGGTGAAAGACGAAAGAGGTACAAGCTGTTGGATTGAGCGAGAGGGATACATAATCCTGCAGAGCACGGACCGTAGGAAACTAATTGCGCATCTAAACCATAACCAAATAAAGTACTGTCAGTATGCGTGTGAGAAATTCATATTTGGAAGAAGTATCACAGGGTGATTTGTTACTTGAAGTATTACAGGTTAGGGACCCGGGCAGACTTGCTGCGGTTCGAAACCAGCCCTTCTCAGCTGTGGTTGCAATACCTGGATGGACATGTTATGATGTCTCGTCCTCGGAGCTTACCTGCATGTCAGCACCAATGAGGATGTTGGCGGGCTTGGTGTCATGTTGCTCTCTGTTCCATTCGACACGTAATAGATGCCTCAATGCGATTTCACTATGCTTGATTCAGTTCCTCGGAGCTTACCTGCATGTCAGCACCAATGAGGATGTTGGCGGTTTGATGTCGCGATGCATGAAGCCAAAGCTGTGGAGATACTCCAAGCCACACACGCACACACAAACCCACCCACCCACACCCACACCCACACACACGCACACGCACACCCACACCCACAACCACAGCACCACACACGCACCTGCATGTTCCCATCCAGCAGGATGTTGGCGGGTTTGATGTCGCGATGCACGAAGCCAAAGCTGTGGAGATACTCCAAGCCACACACGCACACCCACACCCACACACACACACACACACACCCACCCACACCCACACCCACACCCGCACCCACACACACGCACACCCACACCCACAACCACAACACCGCACACGCACCTACATGTTCCCATCCAGCAGGATGTTGGCGGGTTTGATGTCGCGATGCACGAAGCCAAAGCTATGGAGATACTCCAAGCCACGAGCCGCCCCGATCAGGATGCCCAGCCGCTGCGGCAGGGTCAGTGAGAATGGTGCCTCTGCAGGGGGGAGGCAGCATAAGGGAGAGATCATTGGGGAGAGAGCCTGGGGACACAGGATTTGGAAGATTATAGCGTGCAAGACTCAATTGTTGAGTGTAGAGTAGAGTTGTAGCAAGAGCTTCAAAATCGATCTCTTGACTCCCAAGAGTAGTCAGGGTTGAGAGTTTGACATATCGCCAACACCACTGGACTCCAGCTGCAGCCCAGCCAATCCAACTCTTATTCTTGAACCTCCAAGCAAGAAATCTATTGATTCGGATTCTTTCAGAATCAAGCAAAGAGCATGAGGCACAACGCGCATTTGGCACACCGTTTTGTCGTGTGCTAGGAGAAGCAGGAAGGCATTGAGCGTGGACAGACATACTTGTTGGATCCAGCCACCTTGCGAGGTCACCGTTGGACACAAACTCGTAAATCAGGACCTGCTCCGGCCGTGTTCTCATGTCCCCTCCCACAGCAAATCCAAGCAGCCGCACGATGTTGGGATGGTTCTTATCGGCCATTTGCTGGACCTGACGAGTGTGCAGGGTTGGGGAAAAAGAAGATTGAACATGCATTTACCAAGCGGCCGCACGATGTTGGGATGGTTCTTATCGGCCATTTGCTGGACCTGACGAGTGTGCAGGGTTGGGGAAAAAGAAGATTGAACATGCATTTACCAAGCGGCCGCACGATGTTGGGATGGTTCTTATCGGCCATTTGCTGGACCTGACGAGTGTGCAGGGTTGGGGAAAAAGAAGATTGAATATGCATTTACCAAGCGGCCGCACGATGTTGGGATGGTTCTTATCGGCCATTTGCTGGACCTGACGAGTGTGCAGGGTTGGGGAAAAAGAAGATTGAACATGCATTTACCAAGCGGCCGCACGATGTTGGGATGGTTCTTATCGGCCATTTGCTGAACCTGACGAGTGTGCAGGGTTGGGGAAAAAGAAGATTGAACATGCATTTACCAAGCGGCCGCACGATGTTGGGATGGTTCTTATCGGCCATTTGCTGGACCTGACGAGTGTGCAGGGTTGGGGAAAAAGAAGATTGAACATGCATTTACCAAGCGGCCGCACGATGTTGGGATGGTTCTTATCGGCCATTTGCTGGACCTGACGAGTGTGCAGGGTTGGGGAAAAAGAAGATTGAACATGCATTTACCAAGCGGCCGCACGATGTTGGGATGGTTCTTATCGGCCATTTGCTGGACCTGACGAGTGTGCAGGGTTGGGGAAAAAGAAGATTGAACATGCATTTACCAAGCGGTCGCACGATGTTGGGATGGTTCTTATCAGCCATTTGCTGGACCTAACATACAACACAACAAGAACAAACGGGCTGTTGAGCAGATAGCGAGAATACAGCAGCACTTCGCAACCACTGATGTGGGTTCGGGTAGCAAATTTTATAAGTGAGACGAAACGTGAAGCGACGGGTTTCCATGCATGCGCGTATGTATAACAATGTGACAATGTGGACACACGCTATGCACGGTGCATAATCCACCATGAACCATTTCTTCAACAAGTTGGCGCGCTTCACAGCCCACTCACCTCCCGTTAAAATTCCACATCGATCAGCTTGGCGCGCTTCATATTGCGTGTATGCTAATGTTTAGAATGGATGTGAGACATGCATCATAAACTGCTTCTTCAGCCACCCACTCACCTCCCGTTGGAATTCCACATCGATCAGCTTGGCGCGCTTCACAGCCCACTCAGTGACACCATCGCGCGGAGACACCCCTTTAAACACGTCGCCAAAGGCCCCCGAGCCCAGCTGGTTGGCTGTAGACCAGTTGTTGGTGGCCGCTTTGACCTCCGTGAGAGAAAACTCGGTGCTGTGCAAGGCTGCTTGTGGGTTGAGATGAGAGTTGAGGGGTGAGGGGTGGGGGAGAATGGCTGAGAGGCACGCACACACATGATGTGGTGAAAGTGAGCATGGTACTTGTCGCCTTGGTTACCATAAAACAAAAAGAGATCACACACACGCACACACACACACGCACGCGCGCACGCACGCACGCACGCACGCACGCACGCACGCACCCACGCACGCACGCACGCACGCACGCACGCACGCACGCACACACACACACACACACACACCACACACACACACAAACACACACACAAGCACACACAGACACACACACACACACACACACACACACACACACACGCACGCATACACAACAACACACAACCTTTGTCTAAAGAAGAAGAAGAAGAAGAAGAAGAAGAAGAAGAAGAAGAAGAAGGAGGAGGAGGAGGAGGAGGAGGAGGAGGAGGAGGAGGAGGAGGAGGAGGAGGAGGAGGAGGAGGAGGAGGAGGAGGAGGAGGAGGAGGAGGAGGAGGAGGAAGAAGAAGAAGAAGAAGAAGAAGAAGAAGAAGAAGAAGAAGAAGAAGAAGAAGAAGAAGAAGAAGAAGAAGAAGAAGAAGAAGAAGAAGAAGAAGAAGAAGAAGAAGAAGAAGAAGAAGAAGAAGAAAAAAACTACTTTTGTGATCTTGTTTGTGTTTACACTAGTTTTAATGAAACCAAGATGCAATCCCCTTAAAAAATCTCCACTATCTTTTCAGTGTCAACGCATTCGATTGAGAACCACCTTCCAAAAACTTCTTATCCCTTTTAACCCACTTTGTTAAGTAGCTGGTGCCTTCCTCCTTCACCCCTTCACCTATCCATTCAGCTCGACTCCTTACATCATATACGAATCGACTCAAAATTTAGTCAAGAGTCAGCTAAGCTATAGAGCACCTTCGTCCCCTTCTGGTGGCGCCTGCTGCCTCTTGTGCCTTACCCGAGGTAAAGCAGCGTGCAACAGAAGCAACAGCAGCAGCTGCTGCAGTTGCAGGGTTTTTTCTGAGAGATTTCAACAATACCTTCGTTCTCACCTGTTGCCTTCTGCTGCCGCTTGTGCCTGAAGCAGAGCAGCACCGCAGCGAGCAGCAGCAGTAGCAGCACCACGGCAGCAACAACAATGCCAAGGATCGCCGCCAGCGGTAAGCCATTGTTGCCTCCAGAAGTTGCTAAGCCTGACTCGCTGCTGCTGCTGCTGCTGCCGCTGCTGCTGCTGCTGCTGCCGCTGCCGCTGCTGCTGCTGCTGC